AGGACAAAATTATTAGCCTCTTTAAGCTACATTTTTTATCGATAATCTACAGAACAAACCACTGTTATACAATAACTTGCCTATTTACCCTAACCTACCTAGTTAACCTATTTAACCTAGATAAGCCTTTAAATGTCACTTTAAGCTGTATAGAAGTGTCTTGAAAAATATCTATTCAAATATTGTGTACTGTCATCATGGCAAAGATAAAATAAATCAGTTATTAGAAATAAGTTATTAAGACTATTATGTTTAGAAATGTGTTGAAAAAAACTTCTCTCCGTTAAACAGAAATTGGGGAAAAAATAAACAAGCGGTCTAATAATTCAGGGGGCTAATAATTCTGACTTCAACTGTATATACATATATATTTAATATTGCAGCCACTTGCGATTAACTTATCACAACATTTTAGATTGCGATTGCGATTCGATTTCGATTAATCGCACAGTACTATTCCACACCCATCTGCCGTAATAATAATATATGAACTGGTAACAAATCTTTTTTTTTTTTTTACTTGCAGATCTTTACCATAAACCCCCTAGATTTTTACACTATATTATAATTTTCTCATCCTTGGCCTTTTTTTATCTTCCCCTCTCACGTGTCTGTCATGTCAGGCCTGTTGTCGCAACCATAATTGATAGATATTCTTAAAGCAGCAGATCTCGTGCAGTCACGCAGAATTCCCCTCTAATTACATTGTGGAGTTTCTTTCAGCCAAAATTAGTGAGGTCATTTTTACTCTCCCCCTACAGCTGTACACCGCAGCACTCGGCCCGCCGTCTCCCAGTGGATTCACCCATGGTTTTTTAGGATTAGCTTATTTGCATCACATTTTCCTCTATCTAGTGTACAGTGTGTCCTCAAACAGTAATAAAACGAACATTGGAAATCAAATCCATTCAAATTTAAAAACACCCACAAAAACATCACTGTTAGCTTGAGTGTTTAAGCCGTTAGCGAACATTTTTCCATTCACGTTTTTTGTAACTCAACCAACGGTACATTTTACCACTAAACTCTGTGGGGAACATTACATCAGCTCTCAGAAATCAAGACCAGATCTTCAATTTTGTGCCCAGTAAGGTTTGTTTTGGAGATGCCTGTATGTGTCTGTGGTTGTGGCAGTCTAACGTGGGTGTGTGTCTATGTATGTGGCTCTAAGTGTGTGTATTCCTGGCTCTCCCCATGTCTTCAGTGTTGTGGGTCCAGTTGGCTCAGTGGTGATAGACTTCTGTTATCTCAATCAGTTCACACCACGTTTGTGCCTAAAGCTGTTCGTGCCACCATCGCTCTTGTGGCCATCACATTCCAGTCTGGAATGTGTCTGCTTCTGTTGGAGGATCTTATTTTACATGAGACCTAAACACTTTAATGGTTTTGTGATCACTGTGTGCTGTAAGATGACCTTGAGTTTTGCTCCCGTTGGACAGATCATTGCTGTAAACAATGGTTCTCAGCTGGTCAGTTACAGTTCACAAGGAACCAAACTCTTGCTTATTGTGGTCTGCTGAGGAAACCTATTAGTAGGCCCACACGGAATCTGTGCATGCAAAAACACACAGATTTTTAGCCCATCATTGAGTCTATTTATTTACCTGTGTAAATGTGTGTAAATTTATATATATTTCGTTTTTAAATTATTTTAGCAATATTATTGACCAATATGAAAATATTCATGTGATTTATTTACAGTACAGTATGTAAAGTAATATTTAGTAATATAGTCTTTTAGTAGATACATTTAGGGTTGTTGTGATACCATTAGTTCATGTGACGATACTATACCAGCTGATGTATTGTGATACCAAGTAGTATTGCGATGCTGTAATTCATACCTCAAATGTCAGAAATACTATATTTTATATGCTATAATAGGCCTACTTGAATTGAATTATTATTCCCTTATTTTTGAATAAAGTATTTGCACGTCTCTTCACCTGAAATGTATTTGACACTTACCTGCTACTACCTATGTAACCCGGTGAGCGATAAAACAATGCAATTCTCTGTAGCACACCCTCTTGTTGTCTGTAATAGTGTTGTCTCGGTACGTTCATTTCTCGCTAACATTTAAGCGCCGCTAAGCGCATTTTTAAACCACTGATTTACGGTAATATTCACCAGTGCTCAACAGAAATGACTGTGGCCGTGAAAGTCATCAGTTCATCACTCTTGAGGGACTGCAAACACAAATACAGGGACACTGGAGCGTTTTAAAGCCATCTAGATTAGTTGATTGCTTGTCTGTTTTTGCACTCGGTAAACATCTGTGAAGTGCACTTAACTGACCAATCACAGTCATTTTTGTTGAGCACTGGCGAATGCTATGCCAGTGTTTAAGAACGCACTCAACAGTGCTTAAATGTCAGCGGGAAATTGGCATTTTTTTTTCAGAACCGACATTCAGTATTGTGACTAATATAGTGAAAGAATCAGTTTATTAACTTAAATTTGATAAATGGTATCTAAAATGTGTGTTTGGAAAAGACAACATTAGCTAACTGGTGCCATTTTCCTTAAGGAGCTGAAAATTAGGTCTAATATCCCTTTTTAATTTCACTATCCATTCAGAATGGACCATCAGGTCACCTGGAAGAAATTATGAAATTTGTGTCACTTTCTCTTCGCTGATAAGATATACAGCCAGGTACACAACGTTCCTGCGTGACTTCAGGCGATACTTCTGGGTTTCTTCTCACCACTGCCTTGATTTCATCTTTAAAATGGCGGCCACGTGAAATCAGTCTATTGGCCTTGAAGTTTCTACACTCCTGATCTAGTGTATAATTTAAGCATGAGCTGCTACATTTGCTGTATGCTGTTTATGTGCTGATCTCTTTGATTCCTTAGGTAGTTAAATAGTTTTCAGAGAGGGCTCTGATGACTTAACAAGCTAAGAATTTTTGTAAGCTCTCATTGTTATCTATATACGTCCATGTAAGCCCTTGTGCTTGTGGTCTATGGTCTATGTAGAAGAGCTTTCCTCCATGCTGGTGTCTGGTAAAGGCCAGTTTAGCGCTGGGGAATACAGAGATGTAGAAGGGATGGAATGATGATCCACTTTGGTTTTTGGACACTAGATCTGCCTCACCCCTTTCAGCATGGCAGGGTCCTGAGCAACTGTGGTTACTATTAAAAGCTTGGTCACCGAGAGACAGCTGTATATGTGTGAGTGTGTTTTCATCACTATCATCATCATCTTCATCATCATCTAAATGTATTACAGAATTTGACCTAGATAAGCATTTATTGCATTACTCTACTTATAAGCTACTCATAAGACACTATTACAGATAGAGGCATCCCAAGCATGTTTAAATAGTTTGGTTTTCATAATTAAAACACCACAACAAAACATTTTTCAGTTATCGCAGACCAATGTGAACCAACATTTAACCCTTCTCAGCTGTCTGATTCATGCAAAGACCACAATGGAACAATCTGTGGCAACATTAATCCTGCATCCAAAGCAAATCACTCTGCAGAATCAATAAAATATAGTGTGGAGCAGAGCTGGACTTCATCCATTGAGATTGGATTGGATTGTGAAAAATTTGCTGTCCAAATTAATTTGAAATTGTTCAAATAATAGCTACATGAAACTATCTATTAGTGTCTTAAGGGATGACAGTAGAAAAGGAAAGATTGTTTCAGATGAAGAACTTATTAAAATGTTTTGATTAGGGTTAGGATGAAAATCACAATTGTAGTATCTGAAAAAATATTAATCACCCAAATGTTTATGATAAAAAAGTTAAATGGGGTCAGTTTTGATATGATGTAGGAAATAATTGCAGTGCAAATCAAGGAGCTCATTTAAGCAATTGAGGCTTTTTATTGTTCAGCCTTTCAGGCGAATGTCTGTAAGGATAGAGTCTTTTTTTGAAGGCTGTACATTCTGTTCTGTAATTAGGGTTTAAGATTATATTTAGATTTTTGCCTGAACTATTGCTTGGTTAGAGAATATGTTTTACTGTTGTACTGAGTCTTTTCTATCTTATTAGTGAAAGTAGGGGAGAGGGAGTGTAACGGGGATGAGGGCCTAGACACAAAGTCATGCTATAAAAAGATTAATTAAAAATGTGTATACGAATATAAGGAGGATGAGGATGGCTTGGAATGGCAAGGAACAAGCCTCTCAGCGTTCTTAATGATGTAATCCAAACCTTTAACGTAGTAATGAAAAGGAGAATAGTAAAAGAAAAAGAAATTGACTTCACTCCCCTGACACTGAGGATCAAGAGAATATGAAAACATCAGAAGTTGTGATGAAAAAAAGAATTGAAGAAGAGATTCATTTTGAGCCAGCACAGACTTAAAAGAAGTTCTCTTAAGTGAAGGTAAAAAAGACTGTATGCATTGTGTGGCATTCAAGCTGTGGGGATGCTCACGAGTGTTTCAGACAGATTTAAATGAGCCTTGGCTTGGCTCTTGTCTCAGACCAGAAAATAATATATGATAATCTGCATATAATGTACTTTTGTAGATACAATACACTAAGCAGCCTTGTGTGCTCTCGAACACTGGACAAATGGAAAGGAGGAGGACATTTAAATATTTTCATAAAAAGGCACTGTTTGATGCAACTGAATGTAAAAGATTGCAGCTGTTCTTTCGCTATGCTCTTTTCTTTCTTGTTTCTTTTCAAAGAATCACATTTGAATGAAAATTCAGTAGGAGTGTTTGTTGTGAGTGGGGGAAGGGTGCAATTGGTCGGAGTTCTAACCTTCAGCCAATCAGAGATCAGTTGCTGGTTTCTCCTCCTCTTGTGCTTGGAACCCTTTTCCTCTTTCCAGATTGGTTGCTCACACATGCAGCATCTGGAGGCTTTAAGAGTGGAGTGGGAGGGGTCAGACGGTGCATTTAAACCAAACGTCTGCCCCCATTCACTCCAGTATTTGTTAGATGTGTGGAGTAGAGTGAGCGAGAGGAGGTCCTCTTTTTGCTTATCCATGTCTGACAGCATCTCTTTCTTTCTCTTCTTCCTCCAGGAAAAGAGTCCAGGATTGCAAAAAAAGGCTCTGGTTTTTAAGGAGTGTTTTACAAGTTGGAGGCATCCAGAGTCTGACGGGATAGGACTGAGCCACTGTGTTTCACAAAAACTATTCCGCTAACCTTTCAGCTGTAAGAAGCTCACTTCAGGATCTGCCCCATCCTGGTGGGTCACTCAGCCGGACTGATGTGGAATGCGACCCTTTATGACCCCATCCCACGGGCCTCTATTCAATGAGCCGGACTCGGGAGAGCACAGATAATAGAAGCAAGAGGCTGCCCCACAAAAAAGAGTGAAGTAACAGCAGCAGGAGTGTTCGGACTGGTAAGAAAGTTAAAGGGGCCCTTAAAGGTGGGGAAAAAGAGCTTAAAACACAAAAGAGCAGGAATAAAGAGACCTGTGAAAACAAAAGTCTTTCTTGGGACTGCAAGGCTTTCATAAAAGCAAGAAAAACTTTGACCCTTAGCCTTCATTTCACCTCTTAAATTAATCCCACTGCTACCCATCATGCCAGTGGAGACCCTTCGTCCCACAGATGGACGTCTGACGGGGGGTCCCTTCACCTCTGCCATGCCTTTCCGTATCCTCAACAAAGGCCCGGGCTACTTTCGCAGACTACCAGAGACAGGAACTCGGAAGCTTAGTGCAGTTGAGCGCCTGGAAGCAGACAAGGCCAAGTACGTAAAGAGCCAGCAAGTAGCACTTACTAGACAAGAACCTGTGAAGCCCCCAATAATCCGCAAACCGCTATTATCACCAAGCATGTTAATGCAATGCAGAATAAATACTCCACCAGCAAGGAAGATTACCCGACGGGTACTGGATACAGAGAATGGAGGACCAGATCATGGCATGAGCAGAGGGCCGCAACTCAACCTGGAAGTACTCAATAATCTAATCAATGTTTGCGATGGGCCACTTGCATCCTCTTCCATTCCTTCCTCTCCTTCTCCTACAGCCTCCTCTCCCTCTTCTGGTGGTCAGAGCGTTGGTAGTGGACAATCTGCAGAACTGCAGCACTGCATCAATTTCAAAGCACATCTTGCCTCAACACCTAACTCCTCTCGCACATCTTCTCCTCTTAACAATCAACCCTCACCTGCAGAGCCTAGCCGAAGGCCGCCTCCTGTCCCAGCTAGAGCTCCCCGACTGGTACCACAAGGTAGTTATGGTCCACCCAACTCTGTAACTGTACGACGGGTGGATGTGCGACCTCAAGCGGAAATCAGAAAACCTCAAAGAATGCCTCTACAGCCCAAACCTCGGCAGACCCAACCACAGGTAGCCCAGCCACAGGCACCTCCCACACCTGTTCAGCAGCAACCTTCGGCAGCTCACCCTCCATCCCCCTGTATACCTTCCAGCCCACGACTTCTGCGCCCGGGCATTATACCCCCACCTTCCCCTGCTTTTACTCGCCTGTCTTCAGCCAGCTCACGAGGCTCACGTCCAGGTTCAACCCGGAAACACCCCTCCCTCCACCGTTCCAAATCAGACTTAAGTGATCGTTACTCTCGGGCCACAGCTGACCTGGAGCGGTTCTTTAATTACTGTGGGCTGGACCCAGATGAGGTGGATGGAATGGGTGGTGTGGAGTGTTTTGCCCGGGCAAATTCGGACATTGTTTCAGTCTCAAAGCTCCGCAGTGTCAGTACGCCTAGCTCAGAGTGCGGGGATGGACAGCGAGGAGAGGAAGAGGATGATGAAGATGACGATATGGGGCCTATCAAACCCAGTGAGCGGGTTCCCTACGGCATCTCCGTCATCGAGAGGAATGCCCGTGTCATTAAGTGGCTCTATGGTATTAGGCAGGCACGAGATGTCTCACAAAACATTTCCAATGTCTAGAAGCTTCATTCAGGATGTCTACTATGCCAGGAATATCAGATATAGACAACATAAATATGCCAGACTGAACTGAAGTCTTTCACACACTTAATATTTATTGTCTGAAAATGTTTAAAGGCTCTGACAAGTAATTGTTTTGTTTGTATTTGCCTTACTTACGGGATAATGTTCATGATGTTTGTTACATAGAATTTACATGGACATCCTGTATCTTGAGCATCTGATGAATCTCCAGATGCAGAATCCTACAGACTTTCAGCACTGTGACTTTGATGCAGTTTGATTTAAGCAATAAGATGATGATATAAAAGAGTGACTGAATGGATGATGATGTCGATGAAGGCAGCAGTGGATCTGCTGTGCTGGTGCTGTTCAGGTACAAAGTCTTTATTTAACAGCAGTGCTGTGGGACGTGTGGCCTAAGCTAATTTCTTGGAACCGTTGTGTTCATAGTATTGAAAATCAAGCAGGTACTTACTAGTTTTGGAAGCCTTTCTTTTGTTTAAAGAATTGCGGTATGATTAAATCTATTTACATTGCATTATGAGGTCGTCATTTGGTGTCTGTGGTATTGAGGCCTCAGGGACGTGTTTAATAAGCCACACCTAACAGAGAAACGGACTGCAGTGTCCTACCAGTACACATATAGAAACCAGGATGCACACTAACCCCTGCTCACTGTGCACACACTTTTGCTCCATAGGTGTCAAATTCACAAGTGCGTCAGATGTTTGGTGTAGATGTTTTTGAAGGCGAGACTATGATACTGTGAAGAATTCAGAGCTTCCATGGAGACACTGCTTCTCAGCAAACATGGCTGATAGACTGTTAATATTGCATAGAGGTTTAGAAGTTTAAAATATAAGCATGTGAGAGATTCTTGTCAGCATGCACATGTCAGTGTACAGCTGTATAACCTGGCAAAGCACAGTTGCACAATGTGCACTCCTCAAACATGCATTCCAAAAACCTATGGACATACATTCCGTTCAACATAATGTTTATATATGGCTTGTGTGAGTTGTGGTTGTTTGTGACTGTTCTTTTTGCCTTTTTCAATGTTTTGGAGAGAGATTTTTTTTATAAGTCAGCTGTTTAAGAAAGGTGAGGTTTGAGAGCTTACAAAACTGAGAGAGTGTTTGGCTTGATACTCTAGGGCAGGGGTCCAAACTCAGTCCTGGAGGGCCAGTGTTCTGCATAGTTTCTGCCTGGAAGTTTCAATTATACCTTTTTTATTGCAATTTTAGAACACAGAACATACAAAGGCAATAACAACATTATATTAACATCCAATCAAATGCAATATAAGAAGAAAATAAGAAATAAAATTATTCTAAAAACAAAACTTCAGGCGTGAAAATAATAAAGTTCTTTTTGCCTTGGTATTTTTTGTTTCTTTTATTGTGTATAGGTAATGACCTACTTCTATTTTAAAGTGAGTAAGATTAGGTTTTTTACAGCCCATTTACATTTATGAATAAAAATGTTCCATTTAAAATGAGCAAATTAACAATATGCCAAATTTTGAAGTCGACTGTATTCTCATGAAAAAGGTGGTTAGAGCTAAACTATGCAGAACTGCGGCTCTTTAGGAATTGAGTTTGAAACCACTTTTCTAGGGGGAATCAAATCTGTTAAATGTGTTTACTGCAGAATCTTCGCACTTGTACTGAAAATGAAAGCCTTACAAAGAGAAAATGTGATTTTGATGGGAACTGGTTGAATTTGTGAACATTGAAAAGTCATGAATCTACACAAGAGGATGAAAGTTTTTAAACGTTTTGCTTTAAAACTTAATAATCAAGATTATTTTTTCCTTGACTGTGCAATCTAAATATAGCCATAAATACATGAAAAGATGAATGCAACATTTCCATTGACTGAGATACATTGCTTTGCTGGCACATTCAGAGGGAAAAGACACAAAGGTACACACCTTCATACAGCTCAGCACAGTAGTAATTGAAGTAAGAGGGTAACATGATGGATTTGCTTTTTTTGTCAAGTTTACCATTGGCTCGGAAAGAGTCGAATACAAAACTGGTCTTTTGAAGATGTCAATAAAAAGATGTTTTTGAAAACAAGTTGTGATTTGATTATTTTACTATTTCCATATATTTATTTTAAACTAAGAATGTCTATTGAAAGACAGCATGTTAAATCTAAGGGTATCAGATACATTCCACCATGAGACAAGATTCATACTTTAACTGAACAGATGTTGCTCTCTAAACCCTTGCTCACACTGATTTCAGCCACGATTTATTCATATTACTTATCCAGAATATGTTTTACGCAGCGGATGAATAAACAATCATTTCACGTCAAATGCTTTTGTTTCATAAAGCCTAAATGTAGCCAATCGTCACACAGGAGCAATGAAGATTATTATTTTTTTCTTGTAGCCTGTATAGTATTTTTGACTCTATGAATCACCCGAGACCATGGTCCCGAGCGACAAGAAGTCACCCAGTGAGTAAAAAACAGCAGCAGATGTAATTTTGTCTCACCTGGTCCTTTAATGCCTGTTTCTGCTTTCAAGCGTTTATATTTGTGCAAAATGTCGTGTCATGAGGTCGAGTTTAAAGTCTCCCATTGACCTAGACCTTAGTCAAATGTGAAATATAAACAACCTTGGACGAACAAGCAGAGAATTACAGCCAGAAGTGGATGTGACTAACCGCATAAAAGATGAAGAGGACAGTGTGATTCTGACAGCGTTTTCTGCATGCCAGTTAGTTTTTATCGAATAACCTGCCGTTTTAATGCGACAACATATAAGAAGGCCGGGCCGGGTAAGACTTATAGTAATTGCTGTTTCCTAGTGAGTTGGTTTGAGTGTTAAGTAAACTGATGGTGGAAAGTAGATGTGTGCTCATAACGTATTTCCACCAGCTGCTTCATTCAGCAGCACACTCACAGTACTACGGTAAACACTTCTTCTACACCTGCGAGCCTCCGGCAATATATTCACTCCTGGATAATGGGAAGGATTTGCAGTTAAAGCTTCGTACGCAGTTTTTGTGTAACTTAGTATGCACTTGTAATCAGTTCTGGAGCTTATTCTAATACCCTATGTTTATTACACATTACAGTGAGATGCATATTAAAAATATTACTGTAATTAAACTTGTGTTTTGGGAGGATTGCACCACTGAGGCTGGTAAAATTGGAGTTATATTATCTAGGGTTTTTTTTAATCGCAGCTGAGAAATATGAATCACTTTGTCTAACGTGTTTAAAATAGATTCATTCAAACAATAGTGCCCCAAATGTGCTTTGAACAGTGTTGCTGAATTAGCATTTCTGACACAGCTACACTGCCTTCACTGCAGCATGAATAAATTATGTTGTTATTTCTATGGGATAATTATTTTATTTTATTGTTTGCTGACGTTGTTTGTGCAGATGTGGTTGATTTGTAATGTTGATGCTGAGAAATATTTTTTTTTTTTTTAAGATTTGTTGATTCTTTATTGAGAATAGAGTAGTCTAAAATATGTCTGACACCTCTCAGAAATTAAAATTATTCTGAATAATATAAGGCTGATGATTACATTAATACCTTAGAAAAGTTAAGGTAGGGGAGAGCGAGGACCTTTTTTCTGTAAAAACCTAATTTTAAAAGATAATATTAGCAGAAATGTATTTTTGCTGTGGTAACTAACTCACAAGAGTGATCTATCAAAACCAGGTGTTATTTCGTACCATTGTAGAACAACTCCAGTGTAACTTCACTTTAAACAGAAGTTGCACCATGTTACTTTTGACTCCATCAGCAGTAACGAACGTAAAACACGGTGGGTCAAAAGTAACACAATATTTGCTAGATTTACTGGCTTAATCTTGTTTATTTTAAATATATCTGACCTTGTTAATGTTAACTGAAAACATATATATATTTTTTTCAAAAATTATTAAACGGCACTTTCATTTTGAATTTCAATTCCATCAAATGTTTTAAAAGCAATCCCATAATGCAATATGTTAAAATTTTTTACATATTTATTATTATTGTTATTATTATTATTATTGTCAATATGCATTAATTTGATAAAACATCTAAATTTAATTACTGCAAACTCTAATGAGGAGGCAAAAGTAAAGTATAAACATTAGCAGTCGGACATACGTAATGTTGCTTTTGTCCACACAGGAACTCACACTGCCATGTAATCCTGATTTGCTTTTATACTGGAAAAACTCAAACACTGCAAACTTAAGCATGTGTTATAGCACTAAATAATCTGTAGATTGATCATTTCTGTGACACATGAAAAGTGAAACACAACTTGTAGTAAGGAAAAAAGAAACGCTACAATAATTTACTTTCTGCACTTGAAAACTAAAATTTGGAGATAACCACAGTACACGGTCCTGAAATCAGGTGATATTTCAAGCTCCTTCAAGGGTTGCATGGTGAATGCACTGTTATAGCCTGGAAAGCAAATGTTGCCAAGGCATCAAGTAAATTAGTTTGTTATTTATGCCCATGGTCTCCCCTAACTTACAAATAAATAAAAAAAGTCTTGATAAATTTGGAAGTTTGGCTTTAGCAAGTTGTTGCAGAAAAAAATGATTGATGCAAATTGCAAACTCTAAAACAAAATAGTGACATTTAAAATGATAATAAAGCAAAAATCATGTTTTACTGAGGCACAGAAAATGACAAAAATGAAATCCTGCGTGAAAAAACATTTTATTATGCCATGCCAATAAAATACCAATGATAAAAACTTCATAAGCGTTGCACTATATCAATATTTGGAGTAATAACTAGCATTTTCTATCAAAACAATTTAAAACATTTTGATATTCTGACCATTTGCCATTTTCTGAAAAAAAAAATAAATAAATAATGCTCTAAATAACATTTTTATTTGAAATTTGGGAGAAATCAGATCAGACTTTTATTAAATGAAATAAATAATAATATTTTATTCAACGTCAATATATCTAAATTTTTCAAAGCTGTATATGTAAAATGTTATTTTTTTCATAATAATGAAATGTAGAGTATTGCATTTAGTGAACAAATTTATCTGTCATGTTAGCTTTATAACTTTAGTGTAAATACAATGCAGACTGTGTTAAAGCCACTTTACAATGCTGAACATTAAAAGGATAAAAAGTCAGATAACAGTATTATCAACATGGGAAAAAGGATATCTTACACACACATGTAGGCCTGCATGATATTGGAAAATCTAGAAAAAAATGTAGCATTGCTATTATTTTTTAAGTTTTCGATATACAGTTGAACTCAGAATTATTAGCCCCCTTGAATTATTTGCCCCCCTGTTTATTCCAGAATTTCTGTTTACGGAGAGAAGATTTTTTCAACACATTTCTAAACATAGTTTTAATAACTCATTTCTAATAACTGATTTGTTTTATCTTTGCCATGATGACAGTAAATAATATTTGACTAGATATTTTTCTAGACACTTCTATACAACTCAAAGTGACATTTAAAGGCTTAACTAGGTTAATTAGGTTTACTAGTTAGGTTAGGGTAATTAGGCAAGTTATTGTATAACGATGGTTTGTCCTGTAGTAGACTATTAAAAAAAAATGTAGCTTAAAGGGGCTAATAATATTGTCCTTAAAATGGTGTTAAAAAAACTAATAACTGCTTTTATTCTTGTTGAAATAAAACAAATAAGACTTTCTCCAAAAGAAAAAAATATTATCCGACATACTGTGAAACTTTCCTTGCTCACAAAACATAATTTAGGAGATATTTCGAAAAAGAAAAAAAAAAATCAAAGGGGGGCTAATAATTCTGACTTCAACTGTATATAGCGGTATGAATTCAATTTCACCAGATGACTTAAATATCTGTATTTGGAAAAAATCTAATAAACAATCTATACATTTTTGGGGGTCCCCGATACATTTTCGCTGTGGTCTGTGCTATTTGCAGTGCATTTCTTTATTTGCATGTGTTGTGAGTATTTTCATGCATTGATGTTTACTGTTTGCATCTCCAAAAAAAATCTAATAAACAACGTATAAAGTTTTTGGGGTCCTTCAACACATTTTAATTGTGGTCTGCTATTTGCAGTGCGTTTTTGTATTTGCATGTGTTGAGAGTATTATCATGCATAACAATCTATAAATTCAATGAATCAAGAAAAATATTTAAAATTTTTTTTTTTTATCATTTCCCTGCAGGCACAGGACTTCAACATGACGTCAAATTGACATTGTACCTCAATGTTGTGGGGACGTTGGACTTTGTTTGTAAATGAAAATCAGGTTTGACGTCAGAACCCAATGTCAGGTCAATGTCAATGTCCAATGCCCAACCTGAAATCAACTAAATATCAACTTCTAATCTTGTTACACCTTGAAGTTGTGTGGACGTTAACACTGGGACATCTATCAAACGTTGGATTTTGGTCACTTTCCAACACAACCTAAAATCAACCAAATATTAACGTAATTTGACGTCATTATTGGACATCAAAATAAAATTGTCCTTAGATGCTGGCTAGACATTGAATTTTGGTCACCTGATGTCCTGACCTAAATCTAACCTAATATTAACGTCTTATGATGTTGTGTGCCTGCTGGGTGAATTAAAATGCACAAACTGAATAATAAAAATAAAAATAATTCAATAAAATGAATCATAGTGATTCGCGTTGCTAGGCCTATTTTTCTACTCAGCCCCCTAAAACTTTTTTGATTAGCTCATAAACTGTACACTTAAGTATTGCATCAGTTCCCTTTAAATTTGAAATGAAAACGGCGGCAGCTCCTCTCCGTTTTTTGTTTTTCTTTTGATTTGATCATCAAACCCCAGCCGTGGACAGCGAGAGAACAAGGTGTGTGTTTATCGAAAAATTGTTATCATTTCTGCGTATTTGCATTTCTTTGATTATAGATAACCTTGTATCACCTGTATCTCAATGTCACGGAGGAGCAGTCGGGTTTTCTCAGCGCTCACCTTATCAAAAAAGCTGTTTCCTCCAGTGAAAAATATAACTCTTAACGAACCTTTCGCAATTTTAATTTCAAAATGAACAACCTGTGTTAAACACTTTACAGTTAGTGTGGCATTAACTATATCAAACAG